AAAGAGACTGAATGTTATCAATTATTATTAATCATTACAACTTATAAAAATCAAAAAAAAAAAAAGAACAAATTATGTACAGCTGCAATAAACAAGCACCGCAGTTCACTAGAGGGCGTGGATATAGAGTACAAACTAGTTACTAGACCAGTGATGTCAACGTTCACCGTGACGTCCGTTTGGTCGAGTGATTGATCTTTCTGCCTGTGATTGACTGATTTCTAGGTGCAATGGAGGAATGAAGGTGTTGATTGGTTTACTCACGCTGACCTATGCGAAGATCAAGACAAAACTATTCACCCATGGAGTCTATAGGATCCATGTATTCACCCCACACTCCTATTCGAAGTGACTTTTCCTCGTAACCATGGTACCCGCCACGACGCGAGACAGATGTCTGGAGGAGTTCTCCTGAAAGCCGCTCTATACATCTGTTTTCCAAGAACATCTAGATAATTGCTTGTTTAAGACAACTTATTGGACATATAGACGGTTCTATAAATATTTGACATTTTAGAAAAGTACAAAAGAGCCCAGTATCATAAAAATGATTAAGGCGATTTAACGAAGCAAAAGGACATTTTCCCATGGTGCATAGTGTAAAATGAGATGGCTATTTTTTGAGAAGTCAGATAACTGTGGGTCCTCTCTGTGGGTGGTATGAAGATGTTAAAAATCAAGACATGCTTTAAATATATCTATTAGTCAGTGTAGAATGCATTTTTTTACACTATCCCGAGTAGGGTAAAAGATTGGCAATTATTTTAGTTTTCTAAATATTTGTTTTATTTTTTTTTTTATGCCATGCTCTTTTTTGTTTTTTAGTGCTGTGCTATTCTTCTCTTTACGTATTCTAGTTTTAATTTTTTTCCAATTAATTAAAAGTTGCCATATGCATAAAAAATTAAAACAAAACAAAAGAATTTTTCTAGTGGGGGGGGGAGTTTTCTATTTTAATTAGGAAAATAGCTACTAAATTGAAGAAATAAAAGTTTCTCTTTCTGAAATTACCAATTCTATTTTACTTTATTGTAGCGAATGTCAAAGTTTCAGAATTGCACATTATCCTCCCTCTTAATTAAATTTCAGAGGAAAATAAAAATTTATATTTGGAAAATATCTTTAAAGTTGAGAATAAGAGTCAAATATTAATTTTATTTGAATTTATTTTTGACTTGACTTTATTCTGTTAATGTTTAAACTTGCATGTTAAAGATGCGAAGCAGATTTTTTGCCCCTCACTCTTATTTCAGAGGAAAACAAAGTTTTCTATTTGGAAAATAGATTCAAAGATGAAATTTTTTTAATTACCAATTTTTCTTGACTTTATTTTTGCGCACGTCGAAATTTTAGAAGAGGTGAAACACTTTGTTCGCCCTCTCATTATTATTTCGGAAGAAACTAAAGTTTTCTACCAGGAAAATAGAGTGAAAATTAGAAAAAAAAATAGTTTTTTCCTTTTACTTTACTTTTTCCAAATGTCAAAAAGCACATTATTCGTCTATTTAGCTTAATTTCAGAACAAAATAAAGTTTCCTACTTGGTGTATAGCTTCAAAGTTGAGAAAGAATTGCTTTTTTTCCTCTCTAAAATTACCGATTCTACTTGACTTTGTCTTGGCAAATGATTGAATATCAAAAGGTGCAAAGCACATTATTCAACTCCCCCCCCTCACTTAAATTTTAGAGGAAATAAAGTTTTCTATTTGAAAAATAGCTTCAAAATTGAATTTTTTTCCCTTCAAATATCACCGATTTTACATGACTTTATTTTTGTGAGTGTCTAAATTTCAGGAGGGGCGAAACATTGCTTAACCCATCACTTAAATTTTAATGGGGACCTTTGCCCTCCGTCCGGTTGGCACACTTCTGGGTCTGAAGCTAGATAGTAGAGGAAGCAACTAAGTAAGACAGAAGTACACTATAGAGAAAGTGTTAACAATTAATTACATGAAGTAGTGGCCTTTCTCCCTCTCTGCGATAATTCTCGGAAAATGCCTTTTAGCCGTTTTTTACCCTTCTCTTTATGTGTTAAAGTAGATATGCAATTACAAAAAAGAAACTTTTCAGCAATTATATCGTTACACAATTTCTTTCCTATATATATATATATAAAAGAAAGAAACTTAATTTTGAAAAATGTGATCTTGTCCTTTCATATGGAGCCCCCTTGATCGTCGGGGAGCCGGGGAAGTGAATCGACTGCCCCGGCGTAGTTACGGCTCTGTTCTTTAACGTTCTAGCAATAATGTTCATGTAATGAAACAGTAATGTTCCAGTTCTTAATTGATAGTACCTTCAGTATTATCGAATCTTATTAGAGTTTATTAAATATTTTTTTTCTATAAATGGAAATTTTTAAAACTTTGATTCTCGTTTTTTTAATGCAAAGATAATAAGGTTAAATAAATTTCTGCATTCTAAGAAACTATTATAAAAATTCGCAGCGTATCCTACCTTTTAGAATATAAATACTCTGATTTTAGCATATTTTGGAATAAATAACTTTTTTAGACTTTTTTTTAAAAAATTTCGACAAATGTATGCGAATTTTCTAAAAATATGTCATTCACTTTATAATATTAAACAAGTTACTAAAAATTTTCACATTGTAAAAAATTATTTAAAAAAAATTCATATTGTCCTACCCTATATTAGAAATGCATATTCTCTGAACTTCGCAAGATTTGTGCTAAATTAGCTTCCTTTAAAAATTTTCGGCGCATTTTTTTAGACATCTGGGAGAAAATTCTTACAATTGGTTGCCTAGTTTTTAATATAAGGCATGCTACAAATAACTTTCGCATTGCAGAATTCGTAATTTGTCGTTCTTGATGTTAAAAAAAAATGGTTCGGCCTTAACATATTTTGGACTAAGGAAGCTATTTTAAAAATTCTCCACAATATTTCTTACACGTATGAGAATTTTCTAAGAACTAAGCTCTAATTTTTTTAATGTAGATATTGCAAAAAATAAAAAATAAATCGCAAATCGTTCTCTCTTATGTTTCAACCCATGAAATTCGCTTTAATAATTTTAAATAACACGATATTTTAAAAAAATATTCCATAAATATTTTCTGCCGTATTTGGATATTTTCAAACAAATTGACTCTCTTCTAAATGATAAAAATATGTTTAATTTCTGCACTGCCAAAAAATTATAAAAAAGTTCGTAAATTCCCCTTTCCTACGTTAGGAATATAAATGTTCTGATTTCAGCCTGTTTTGGAATAAATAAGATTTCTTCTTCGTGCCTTTCTCAAAACATTTCCACAAATATATGGAAATTTTCTAATATTTGATGTTCACTTTTTAATATAAATTAAGTTTCAAATCATTTCTGCATTGCAATAATTTATTAAAAATTCCCAAAATGCCCGTCCTCATGTTAAAGATAAATGATCTTAATATGTTTTGAAATATACATTTTTTTTAAACTTTTCTTTAAAAAACTTCTAAAAATATCTATTTGCTATTATAAACTCATTTTTTTAAAATCTATAAATTACTGCATTAAAAGAACCTAACTCTATTAGTTGCTACGCTAAAATGAAGTTTCACAATGTCACTAATATTTGTTAAACAATTTAACTAATTCAGTGTTACACTCTCTTCTAGAAAACGACCAAAGGTGTTCTGTGCTCATTCTAACAACTTTTCATGTCACTTTTATGCCAATTTATGTGACCAAATATACTCTGTTCTGTTCACAAGACATGCTGGCCTGCGGTGACATAACCGGCGATAGGCGGAAGGGAACAGCATGCCGAGTAGTACTGCATCTGTTAAGAAATTTTTTTTGTAATACTCTTCTTTTAAATGAACTTTTTCTTCTACCTCATAAAAGAAAAATTTCATCTAGAGTCATTTAGCTTAAAAAGGAAAATTCTTAATAGTAAAATTGTTTTTATGATCAAAGTGTAGAGCACAAATTTCCCTTTATGAAACATTAAAACTCATTTGGTTACACTTTATTCAAGTCACGGTGATTGTCTATAATAATACAATGTTCGATTGAATTGTGGATTCGAAGAGAATCCTTGAGGAGAAGGAGTTCTTGGTGATTACGAAGAAGAATCTGTTAAATAATCGATTCCTAAATGGTAGTAAGAAGCTGGTGGTGGTTGCCTAAGCCGAGCGAGCTCCTCATTCCTTGAATCTATCTCCTGATTCAGTACTTCAATATCTCGTAATAAGTCCTCTATTCTCCCACTTTGATCAAATGTAGGAGGTGGTAACTGATATTCATCTAACCCAGAAGATTCATACGAATAATCTTGGCTTTCATCTCCTTCATAGCCAAGGGAATGAAACATTCTGTCCTCTGCTATTATTCTACTAAAAGCAGGCTGCTGAGGTAATGAATAGTCACCCAGATCAACTCTTCTTCCTAAACTAATAGCTGGCAGAGGTAATCGGTCATCTCTGTAACTGCTAGAAGCAAGTGGACGTAACTCTAATGTGGCCATTTCATCCAGATCAATCGCTCTATCTAAATCAAGAGCAGGAGGAGGTAAACGGTCTACTCTTTGTAAGCTGGAAGCAGGTAGGCGTAAGTCTAATGTAGCTGCTTCATCCAGTTCAATCACTCTACTTAAATCCATATCAGGGGACGATGAAGGTTGTACTCTTTGTCTGCTGGAAGCAGGTAGGCGTAGGTCTAATACAGCCATTTCATCCAGATCAACCACTCTATCTAAATCAATATCAGTGGGAGGTAAAGGGTCTTCTATTTGTATGATGGAAGTAGGTTGGCGTAAGTCTAATGCAGCTACTTCATCCAGGTCAACCGTTCTGTCTAAATCAATAGCGGGGGGAGGTAAAGGATCTTCCCTTGGTATGCTGATAGCAGGTGGGGGTGGTGCTTGATCCAGATCAATTACTCTATCAGTCTCTTCGGTTTGAGGAGAAGCAGGAGGAGGAGAATGTATGTTAACACGTGCTAGGCGGAAGTCATCTGACATGATAGATAATTCCATTCTTATTTCAGCGAGTTCAATTATCTGGAAATAATAATTAGATATTAAAGAATACATTCAAATAATTATTTTAATTTTTATAATTGGGTATTTGTACATAGGTACGTACAGTGCGACAGATAAGGAGAAGTGAACATCCTGAATAACTTTTGATCTCTAATGATCGGATTTTTACATACTAGGAATCAATCTTATTGCTTTGAGAGCCTTTAAATATGTTAATTAATTAGTGTAGACGATACTTACGAAATGCGGCAGAAAAAAATGTATTTCCTTAGAATATGTAAACTTGTTTTTCGGATTCGGGTTTCTGACCTTCAAAATATGTCGAGTCTCCCAAAATTGAAAAATATGGTTCAAATTGTAAAGGAAGGAGAGTGATCAATAATTTGGAAATTTTAATCTACATTTCACTTTTGTAATTTCACTCTATCTCAATTATAAAATTCATTATCTGGTGATAATTTCATGAAAAATATTTTTAAATAATTATAATTTTTTTTTATCAATACATTTAATAGAACTCTAAAAAATCTTGAATTGTTAAGTACACAAATTTTTACATTACTTTTACATTTACATAAAATGTGAAATTTGAACGAAATCGGTTGAATAATTATCAAGAAATCAAATTTTAAATATACGTTTTTTCAAGTCAAGTTTTAAACTTAAATAAATAATATTTATTTGAACCAAGAAACAAAATGTCATAGAAAATTCATTTCAAATTTTGAATAATTGAAATTAAATCATTAAATATGACAACTTTGAGAATTTTTAAAATCAATTTCTGCACGGTTGTAAAATAGTTGTCAAGCAAATCAATGAATTAAATCAATGTCTGCACAGGTGTAAAATAGTTTAAGACCAAATGAATGAAATATATTAAGACCAAATGAATATAAAATCCTACATGGTTTGAAGTCAAATTCAAAATAATTTAAATTTATAAAAGTTTAAATTGCCTTGTTCTATTAAGTTGTTTTACCAATTTGCAAATGGCGAATGTTCACAAAAGTTTTAAACCTAAATATGAGACTATAAAAATAGTTTCACACCTGATCTTGTTCTAAAAAACAACACAAATTTTGATAGATTATTTCAAAACTTGTAATTGTTTTGTGTTCGTTTTTACGCCCAATGACATGAGAACAATGTTCTTTAGCTAACTACCATTTTCCAATTGAATGCCAGCAAGGGACGTAATCTAGGGCAAATCAAGGCATTTGCCAATCAGGTTTAACGCTCTCGCGTGTCGTCGCTTAAAGTTACCCAATTAAATGTGACTTAAGTCACATTGCTAGACATAATCATTTCGCTTCTTCTCGAGTTGGAAGTACTCAGTTGTCTTCACATTAGATATTAACCCTTTGCTTGCGGTGTTCCATACTGTACCGTCCCCTGTGGTTCACATGTTGTACCAGCCATAACCTAAAGGCTAAATAAACCTTGTGCAAATTTTCTTTTAAAGTTATCTATTATATAGTTGGTCGTAGTAAAGTTGTCAAGTATATAGTATCAAAGGCAGATAGTAAAAGTACTTTTCTTTATTTTTTGTCCGAGTATATTTAAATTTTTAAATTTAAATGAGATAAACTCTTTTTTTTATTATTATTAAAAATGGAATTTTTTACTTATAAAAATATTTAAAGAGAGTGGATAAAATGGTTTTAAAAGAGCAAAATCATGGAATTGAAATATTAAAAGTATGCGAAAATAAATTCTAATGTACTGTTAAATGCTTCTTCTGCCTAGAAGAAAGTCGAGTATGAAAAAATAAAATAAAAGCAAAAATTACCATGGGATCCACGTTTTCTGCTTCATTCTTAATCTCTCCAATCTCGTTTTCAAGCCGGCCTTGTATATCCGTAAATCTTTGCAATTCTTGCTGTATTACATTCAAATTTGTATTGCCTGCATTCATTAAATCACTAAGAGATCTCTCAAACTCATCTAATATTTGTTCGCAAATTTCTTCTGATGGCTAATAAAAAGAAATAATAATCATATATCGGTAGTAAAATATTTTTATATAGTTAAACTACAATTTTATTGCAGTTACTACGTTGTTATTAACTTTCAATTGTGGCAGGAGGATGGAATATTGCTATTGAAATTCCGAGTACTTTCCGACTTTCTGGAGCACTGAACTTTCACCTGGAGCTCTGTTATGTAAGACAATACAAGTTTCAAATGTTCCTCTACCGATTTCAAATAGAATTTGAAGCCCGTTTAGTAGCAAAGATAGGTTATCATTAATCGAAATTCCGTGCATTTTCCGACTGGCCAGAGTAATCAAAAGTCAAATAGAGCTCTGTGTCGGATAACAGTACAAGTTTAAATTAATTCTCTAAAAACTGTATGTAAATTTTATCACCATTTAGTTGTTATATATTAATTATTTAATTGCCATCGTTAACTGAAATTCCTACTTCTTCCCGACTACTTAGGGTTATCAAGTCTGAATTGAAGCTCTGTGTTTGCTGTTTATACAGCTTAAAATTGTATTTTAAATGTTCAAGAAATCAAATATTGTAAGTTTCTTTAATCTCCATTTTATTACTAATCAAAATCTCGATCGTTTTTTCTTTCATAAATAAACTGACTCAAAACTTAAAAGTGGAAAATATTAAAAAATAATAATTTCATTTTTTTGAAAACTGTGTTTTCTTAGAAGATTAATGAGTAAATTATTCTATTTTTGTAAATTTATACGAAATTATCTCTTAACGTTTTGTTTAACAGTGATTTTTCTTTACTATAAAAAGAGTGTCACATCAAAATTGCAAATTAATCGATTAAAAGTCCAATCGATTAAAGATTTATAACATCAACACAGATAATTCCGCAGATTTAGTTTCCGATTTTATTGTGGATGGAATTTAAACCTAATAATTATGCTAGTACTATTGCATCTACAAACTTATTATGTTTTAAAAATTCTTGCTTAATTTACTGGATAAATATTTTTCTCCAAAGATAATATACAGAAATAGTACGAAAATTAATTTTTAATGCTGCCTCAGAGTTTTTAGTAGCTATTTTGTATTCATTTTTTAATTGCATATGTTTATAAAGGGCGAAAACAGTTTGATAAAAAATTAATTACAAAAATAAAGATTGTCAATAAGTAAACATTTAAAGTCTAACTTACAACTATTTGAACTACAACATAGCAATTAGCATTAGATCTAATATAATACGCAAATGTGCCTCTTAAACAAGTGATATAAATAAACTATTGTCTTTGCTTTAAATTTAAGAAGGCCTTCTAATTATTCAGTATTCTCTCCTTTAATGGGAATGCCATTTATTTTTTTCATATTTCTTTCTTCAAATAAATATGATCAGGAGATGCAGTGATCTTTATTCCATTTACTTTATCTTTTCTTTTTGTAAGTTACAGTTAGTTTAAAAATTGTTTGATTGTATTGCATTGAGTACTAAATATCGTTTGGACTTAGAGCAATAAAATCTGTTGCGGTTCACAACATTACTAAACAACAAGCGTGCAACTGTATTCCTTCATTTCCAAGTTGCCTCCCTTCGGGGATTGGACTGCTGCCTTTATTATGAAAGTTCATAGAGGTATTGAATGAATGCATCGTATTCTTGGCATGCTTTTGTCCGGGATTTTCTAAATTAATGTCTTTAAAAGTAAAGTGAGTAATTTCTAAATATGTGAATAAATTACAAAGATCTTCAGGTAAAATATTAGGAAATAGCAAGCTTCTAATAATTTTGTCAGGGAACTTCATTTATTTCACTTTATATTAAACCAATCCCTTTCACGCTTCATATTAACTATGCATTTGATAAATGATTTCGAGTGATATGATAAATGATTCTATATCATATAAATGATTTCGAATCGGGAAACATTTTCTTACTGTAAACTTTCACTTTATGAAATGGAAAAAAAATTTAAGAAAATTGAGTAAATATTTACCTTTGATATTAAATTACATCATACAGTTTTTATTTTATTTTGAGGTAAATGCTATAGGCAAGCTTGCAAATTTCTGTCATAAGCCGCTCTGAAAAATGGGAACTTAATTTGATTTTTTTTCTTCTTTTAGTTGTCACTGATCTCGGAATTAAATGTTTACTTTTGATCTGAATGCTTGGATTGCGCTGTTAAAATGTTTAAAGATATAAAATAAAATGTCAAGACTTTTCTTTCCATAAAGTAATCATATGAATATCGATTCCCAACTTTTTTTGAGTATTTGATCCAATAATTCGATTTTTTTTTCATTCATTTAGCACTGAATTTAAAAAAAAATAGGCTAACTAAAGAAATTGTATTATAACTTATAAATCGTATTTAGACAATTCAAAACAGTTAACAAAGATTAGGTTTAAAATATCACACTCAATACACATTATCTTTTGATTTTTATATTTCTCAGGCCTGTATTGATCAATACAATTTCCTGATGTTGCGATTTTATAGAATGATGTTCCTTCGATTCGGTTTATAATGCCACTGAAAGCCAATATATATATATATATATATATTGAATTTTATGTCACTGGATTCAAATTTATTGCTGCTGGTACTAAGAAAGAAAAGAAGACTGAAGCTGATATATTGATACCAACAGCAAATGAGTTATTTTCTGGAAGTAAAAGCTCGAGGACTGTGGTAGATAGAAGGTGTGTATTTTGCGACAAAAACCACGAGAGTAAAGATTGTTTTACGGCAGCCAAATTGGCTTACCATCAGAAGCAAGAACTAATTAAGAATAAGAAAGCTTGCTTTATATGTCTTAAGTTTGGACATAAAGCAAAATATTGCAAATCAAGTGTTAAATGTCTAATTTGTGCTAAGAGACATTGGTCGATCATGTGTGCAGAATTATCGCCAAACAAGCACGAAGTAAAAGATGAAAAAGTAATTGATTCGAGTGAATGCCAAAATGTAATACTTGCGAATTCTTGCTGTTCTGGAGAGATATTCCTTCAAACTTTAATGGTAAATATTGAAAGTAAAGAAGGAAAACGTGCTATAAGAGCATTAATTGACACTGGCTCTCAACGCTCATATATTCTGAAGAGCACTGTTGAGGAACTGAAATTTCGCCAAATTGATACTCAAACATTGATTCATAGCTTATTTGGAGGGTCAAAATCAAGCAGCGAAATTCATAATCTTTTTTCTATTAAAGTTACCGATTTGAAAAATAGTTATAGTTGTAATATGCATGTTTTGGATCAACATAAAATTTGCAGTTTTGTTCCACGACTTCATGATGGACCTTGGAT